CCCATCTTCCCGGAGGTGTGCGGAGCTGCACGCCCCAGAGAACATCTCCCCCCGTCCCTTTCTGCCTCAGCCACTCAGTGGGAGGGCTTCTGGAGTTCTGGCCCCACTCTTGGACTTCCTGATGGCACCTGGTATCTTTGGCCACTGTGTGACACAGAGTATTGGACTGGATGGGCCACTGGCCTGATCCAGCATTGGCTTTTCTTATGTTCTCTTGTTCCTATGTCTGGGGCAGTGATGCTCTGTCTTCTTGGTGCTTGGAGGGCAAGAGTGGGAGGGCTCCTGAAGTTCTGGCCCTGCTGGCGGACCTTCTGATGGCCCCTGGGTTTTGTCCAGTGTTCCCTCTAAGTGCAGCTAGCTAACAGTTTTTTATTATTTATAAGTTTATTTAAAGTTTTATCAACGTATAACGTACAAAGATACAAAAATCAACATCAAAGGTACAAATGTTACAGTGTAGTGATAATTATAACATACAGATGAAACTTAACAGCTCGTACAATGCATGCCTATGACCTTTTAAATAAAAACGTTATCTGAAGTTCAACAACTGTATCATAAGAACAACAGTTTTGATGATGGTAAAAAGTTAATCCTACATGAACTTGCTAACATCATAGTATAAATTATCTACGATTCATTTCATGAGGTAAAATAGCAAAAATAGCAAAGAAGACATCACTTCCGGTGATGTCAGGGGGTGTGGCCTTCTGACACACTTCCGGTGATGTCAGAGTGTGTGGCATATGCTAATGAGTTATGCTAATGAGCACCTGCAGCTCTTTTTCTACGAAAAGACCCCTGCGAGTCCGTATGGCACAAGTTGTGAGTTGTTTCCGTGTAACAGTTAAATTAATAGAGGGAAAAGTCATTTTATCAGTTACAATGGCAAGTGCACAAACGGAGCATCTACCACAGCGATGATGACCACCTTTCCTGGCTGCCGGTGGAGAGACTTGGGGTGGTGGCAAATCCCTGGGTTCCCTGCCCGACCTTCTCCCGGTGCCCCGCAGCCACGAGGCACCTGGAGAAGATCGGGCAGGGGAGCCAGGCATGTCTGCTTCCCTGCCCTCCCCTGCCGCGGCGGGTTGGCCGGAGAGGGGAAGGGGAGGCAGGCAGACACGGCCCCTTTCCCCCTGAGCCTTTCCGCTTTTGCAGAGAGACTCAGGGAGGGGGGGATTTAAACTCATTTGCATATGCCTTACCTCATTTTAAACATGCCTGCGCTTTGTCAGGGGGTGTGGCATATGCAAATGAGTTATGCAAATGAGCTCCTGCACCTCTTATTCTAGGAAATGACCCCTGGCTATTAGTTTCATCTCCAGATCTTATCATATGCCACTTCCAGGGCTTTTTTTTCTGGGGGAATGTGCTGGAACAAAGTTCTGGAACCTCTTCAACACAATTATTTAAAGAAATGTTTCATGAGATTTCAGTATACAGATTGAAAACATCATTTCCTTCTTGAGACTTCCAGCACCTCTTTAAAAAAAAAAAGCCCTGGCCACTTCTAAGATCCCACGAGCCATCTCCTGTCCCACCCAACCACTTGGCCTTTCCTGATCTGTCAGGTAGGCGCACCTCCCAGATTTTCTCCAGAAGATCTGAGCATCAGGAGCCCTGGCAATTCTAGTTCTTAATCAATGTTCAGATTTAAGACCCAGCAACTTTTGAGATAAAATCAACTTTGTTTTATCATGACGGTGCTTTATCCTGTAGCACATGCCTGCCCGGATGGTGTCACAGTCACACCCAACATTTCTGCTTAATTGTCACCCGGAATTACTGAAGATTGCATAAGATTATTGCAGTGTAGTTTTGTTAATCACTGTTTACCTTCGGAGAATTTGATTTACCAATCTGCTCTGGGAAGTGGATGCAACTTCGCAAAAATGGCTGTGTTAAATCATTCCCCTAAACACAAACTGAATAAATAAAAATCACTTTTATTTTTAAGGATCATAGCAAACTTAAAGATATCTATTTATTTAAGATAGACCCAAAGTGGCTTACACCAGTCTCCCCTCCTCCATTTTTATCCTCAAAACAACCCTGTGAGGTAGGTTTGGCTGTGAGAGTGATTGCACCCAAAATCACCCAGCAAGCTTCTATGGTTGTAAAGATTTAAAAACACAATTTAAGCATGAGACACAAATTAAAACAACATAAACCCTGAATAAATATTGTGCGTTAGATGTAGGGGTGCCATGGCTGATTACTGTAAAGGGCTGGTGGGAAAAGAACACAAATGTTTCTCAATGGATGTTTTTTTGTTAGGAGATACTTCTCTGATACCTTGGTTCAGTATCCATGAGAGCTTGAAGACATAGAAAGGAGAAAGCCCTTGGATTAAAGGGGAATGTCCACATGATATCACATTCATTCTGAGCACAACTCCTGGCACCCCCTGGGATTTCCCCTTTAATCTGGGGGGGGATTAACCTTTTCCTGTCTGAATTAAAGGCAAATATTTACAGTGGCGCTACAAGGGTCTGTCTGTGGGTCTGTCAGAGATGCCTGGGATCCGTCAGAACCCGAGTAGCATGTTTGCAGCCTGAATAGCTCTGAGATCGGTGTCCTACTACTAAATGCATAATATTATTCCTGGTTCTGTGATAGCACTATATGAGCATGAAAAGCTCTAGTACCACTATAAGGAATACTTCCTGAGGAAGATCCAGTTTTTGAAACGTTGTTGTTATAAAATCTGGAGACGACGTTGATATATTCTTATACAAGGATTTTCTTAGGATTTGATGGAATTTGTTCATTGTTATGCAGTGTTTATTGATAGCAATAGATAGACAAAAATTTTTGGTAAGTCTTGCTGACTACCTTGATTTGTGGGTCAGATTCTCACGACTGCTTTCTTAATATTTGTTCCTAGGCAAGGTCATGACTGTCCACATTTGTCTTGTAACACTACAGGGAGGGCAGGTGAAGCTAAGCTCTGCTTTAAAAATGTTGCAGGGCAGCTTCCTGCTGTTCAACCACTTCACACACAGTTTAGCCCTTAAAAGGGTTTTTTTCCTACTTTCCCTGCTGAGCAATGTGGGAGCACCGCCTCATAGGAAAAGAGAAAGTGAGGAGAAAGATGGGGTTTCAGGGCTGCAGGGTATACCTGTGCAATTTTTGTCCCACCTCTGGTTCTGGGTGGAAAGGGGAGGAGTGGGGAGTGGGATTGATAGCCACAGGGGGCAAAGTGACATTGGCCGTAGATGCTGTTCCTGCCTTCTCCCATGATCCTTGTTGTTGCCATGGCAGAGGTACGTTTTCATGTGCCTATGTGCAATTACATTAAGAGCACTTGAAGGTGGACCCCCCCCCCCCAGTTATGGTTGCGACCCTGTTCAGGATTAAAAAGTGCCCTGTCCTTTAATAGAGGCTCAGTGCATGGAAATGGGCAGATGGAGATTTTCATGGCTAGTACTTGCTGCAGATCAAACTGACATTAAAGGGACAGCTAGAGGGACTGGTTTAAAAGCTGACAACCCTGATCATAGCTTCTTTTCATCCAGCTGTGTTTGTACTTCCTGCCTGTCTCCCCAGATGAGTATTCAAAGCGGCTTACATTGTAATCCTCTCCTCCATTGTATCTTCACAACAACCCTGGGAGGTAAGTTAGGCTGAAAGTCTGGCCGATTTCCCACAAGCTCTGCTCCATGCTCGCTCTTCCCTTTTGCCCCGATGGTACATGTCAATTTCACACAAGCTGCTGCGAGGCCCTTCACGCGATTTCCTCCACGCCCAGTGTTCCCTCTAAGCTGAGTTAGTGTGAGCTATCTCACATTTTTTAAATCTCCAGCTCAAACATTTTTGTCTTAGCTCAGGAAGGGTGGCTCCAGAGCAAACTAATTTATGCAGTAGCCAGATCGCTTGCTCACAACTTTAATGCTAGTAGCTCACAAAGTGGAATTTTTGCTCACAAGACTCCACAGCTTAGAGGGAGCATTGCGGGCCGTGTCTACTCAATTCTCAAAAAACAGTAGACGCGGGGAAAATCAGGCGAAGCTGTGGGGCAAAATGCGCTTGTGTGAAATTGACAACCATCGGGGCAAAAGGGAAGAGCGAGTGTGGAGCAGCACTTGTGGGAAATCGGTCTCTGTGACTGGCTCAAACGAGCTTTCATGACAGAGTGGGGATTCAAACTTGGTTCTCTCAGTTCCTAGTTCAACACTCTGATCACTACACTGCGTCACACCACAAGACGAGTAGGCCAGCCTGCAGGAGCCACTCTACCCCCTGCCCTGGTCTTACAGCTTTTGACCTTGCCACAGTTTTCCCCACCTGACTCTGTGGCTCTCCCATTAGCATAAGAATCTGCTGAAGCATCTCCCAGTCCAGTAGCTGCAAACCAGCCTTACCCCCCATATTTGTGATATGTGAAAGTACAATTTATTTAAAAAAGGGTTCAGGGCAATTGATGGCCTCATAGAAAACGACATTGCTCTTCAACACTGTTTTGGAAGGGGATGTGTCTCTGTGCTGGTTCCCTTCAGCTATTATGTTAAATCCCCCGCCCCACCACAGTTGTTGGGTGAATTGCTAACATATGGCTGCATTTTCATCCAGTCCATGGTCCCACTGTAATTTCAGCTCCAAGTCTCTGAACAGGCCTGGGAGGAGCATGTTATCTTGAGACGAGTCTGAAGATCCAGGGGTAGTGCTGTGGGGTTCGGGCTCACTTTTCAAGTCCTCATTGGCTCGACTGAAGCAGTCTGCCAGTTGTAATCTTGAAGGGGTCCACTCGCTATTAGTCCAGACTAATGAATCCCAGGCTGCCCATTGCCCCAAGAGGCTGGGATCTTGTGAGAAGTTGTTGCTGGCACAAAGTGGAAATGAGGAATGAGGAATGGGTAATGGAGACTCGCCTTCTGAGGTGGCCATTTGGCTGACTGGCAGAGCAGATGGCAACAATTCTACAGGTTGCTGCTTGTAACTTCCTGTCCTTTCCCCTAAAATGGCAGCCACTCTCTCTTGCAGAAGGGAAGGGAATCGCTGTGGCCTGCCCTGGGCATCTTCCTGAAGCAGCAGCTGTTGGGTTTCATCAGCTTTTTCCAGCTCCAGCACTGGCTCCTTTTGAACCAGGTTTCCACACAATCCTCTTTTGTCTTGTCTTTGTTTCTTCACTTTAGTGCGCCCGCTGCCCATTAAGTCTTCACTGACAGAATCAGATTTTGTCATTTGATTTGGTGAAGAGTTTGCCTTGTTGGCATGGCTGGTGCCTTCGACACATACACCATATGTTAAATTTGAGCGCTTGTTGTCAAGTGTGTGAGGTGTGCTATTCTGGATCACTTGTGGAGCGTAACCGACAGTACCTGCATCATCTGCTTGGCCTATGGGAGCAGCAACACACTGGATTGACGCCACTTTGGCCTGTTGCTGATAAACCCTGTTTGGCAAATCGAATACCATTTGGTGCTCTAGTACTTCTTGGAGATGCTGGTTAATCTGTTCCGGCTTCATCAATGGATCAATTTGGAAAGGCTTAGATAAATCATGGGCCACCAAGATATGCTCCACAGTTAGCGTGAGAGGCTGGGCGTGTGACACGTCCTTGAAATCCTGCCAAGGAAGAGATATGAAAATGAGTGACAGTGCAAGGAGCTTTATCAAAAAGGTAAGACAGCTAGAAAAGATGAGAATTCTGCAGGAAGGCTGCCAGCATATTGAAATTACAAAGGTATCGTGTATTGTGAAGATATAAAGATTCCCAGGAAGCTGAATTCCCATTGCCAAGTTTTACACTAGAGTGAAATTACAGAATAAACCGTGTTTTGCTGACCATCATCTTGGGCAATATTAGTAGACGGGGTCTACAAAAGGTTTCCCTCCTCCTGGGGGATGGCAGGCAAGCTCTCACCCCATGGATTCCAGGCACCACTGGGCCTCTTCACTCCAGCTGCAGCAAGGGGCAGGGGCAGCAGGTGGCATCACTTGATGACATGCAATGCTGTGATGCCACTTTTGGTTTGTACCAGGAAATGATATCATGATGCTGTAAGGAGTTCACACATCTCTGTAATTAGAAACCCATAGAGATGAATGAATTCCTAGAGTGATATATCACTTCTGGGTACAAACCAGCAATGGCATCATAACATCACGCATCATCATGTGATGTTGCTCCCTGCCCCCCAGTGGTACCCGCTGGTTGCCACTGTTCAGCCGGCAACCCAAGTCCACAAATCTATTGGTCAGTAATGAACACCCCTCTTCTTTGGGCAACAGGGTCTTTAACTCTTGAAACAAGCAAAAAAAATATTTTATTTGGGTAGGACCATACATTCTCAAGGGTGGTTGAACACACAGAGAATAAGACATCCAACAATCCATCAACAACATCACAGCAGGACATATTATCAACCCAGACTGTGCCAAAGTAAAAAGAGAAAAGTAACACCGAGACAGAGCTGACAGGAAGGTAAGCAAAGTCACTTTGCCACAGCTTGGCTTAGCATTGTTTCCCTTCCCCTCACTTACACAACAGTATCATGTGCCCATTTGTTACTCTCATGTTTCCCCCCCTGAGTTTTTTCCTGTGTTTATTTAGACTACCACAAAAGTGGTCTGAAAAAACATGGGAAACATTCAAGAAAAAACATTATACCAATATATGCATAAGGTTCTCTGAATTCTTGGCGTTCATTTTTTTAAAAGTCTCTGCCCCCTTTCCTTGTGGAGATTTGCCTTTTCCCTTATACCTCTGCAATGAAATGGACTAGAGGCAATGAAAGTTGAGAATTCAGGGAGCCTGATACGCATATTGGTATAGAAGTATAGTGATAGAATGCTGTCCAATTGCTAATTTTTAAGATAAAAAAAGCCACCATGACAGGAAGAGGAAATAGCCGTTGCTGCTGGGAAAACGGCTGCTGTGGATAGGATTGGGAAAATCCAAATTTTCCCTGCCGCATGGCAGTCAACCGGGCTTTTCTGCAATGTTCCCCAAAACTTGGGAGTGTAGCAGGTTCACAAAAGATCAGAGAAAAGCTGGGTAAACCTCAGCAGTTACACAAATACACCATGATACTGGGAGGAAGCAGGAAAACCTCCCACTTCCTAACAGCATTGAACTCGGGGCAAATAACCTGTGTGGAAAGACCCTAAAAGATGAAACCCTTAAAAACAACAACAACAACCACCTCTTCCATAATGGTTGAAAGGGTACATACCAGAGACATGGGTTGCTGTGTAGTATATCCCTTAATGTACTTGTATATAAGGTAATATATCATACCAAAGGTCAATAAAACCATAAATCCAACTGCCCCAAACAAGTATGTCAGCCAACGATTGTCTGTGGAATAGAAACAGAATATTAGAGATAGTATTCAGGATGGGTGGATGGATGGATGGAACTGGAAGACAGTGTCAGAGGGTAGTCACGTTGGTCTGCAGTGGAACAGCTGGATTCCAAGTGGATGGATGGATGGAACTGGAAAACAGTGTCAGAGGGTAGTCACGTTTGTCTGCAGTGGAACAGCTGGATTCCAGTGGCTTGGGGTATAAACTTTTGAGAGTCAAATATCCCTTCATCAGATGCCTTTGTCAGATATAGAACTGGAAAAAATATCCGGGATCAAACAGACTTCCTTGTCAGTTAACCATAGGGCCGGACAAGACCCACCTCACTCTCTTTCCAGTTAAATGAAAGTGAACTGATAAATGTTGGTTCTTCGGAGCAAGCCAAAAGGTCCTTATCGAAAGCAGAACTGTGCATGGCAAAGATGCCCAGGCTAATGAATGCACGGGCGGGATCCAACCAGCTTTTCTGCAGGCGAAAAAGAAGGCATCCTCTTTGACCACTCAACAAGGCTGTACTGAGAATTATGGGACCTGCATGTGCAAAAGCCACGTGAGATGTAGGCCATAGTGTGGAATCGTGAGTGAAAAACCTGGCTGGATCCAACCCCATTTCTCTGTTCATTGAGCCCTGTCTGTATAGACCAGACTGGCCAATGTCAGGAATGGGAGCAGTTTTGCCTTTACTGCAACAGTGTCTAAACGGAACACAGTTTTTTGCCCCCATAAGTAACCTTTTTTTTCCCCAGATGGGGAAAATTAAAGATATACACTGGGGAACATTGTTGGTATGAGACCTAAAGCTTCTGCCTGCCACAGCTGATCCCATTTTTTGGGATGTGAGGGACAAAAGTTTTTGCCAGTTGTAGCCCATCACCCTTGATCCTATAATAGGGTTGCCAAGTCCATCTTCCACCCCCAGCGGGGGACTTTGGGGGCGTTCCTGGAGGGGGTGGGGCATCCCCAACATGATGACGTCACGTTGGGGACGTCTGCCCCCCCCCCGCCCATGCGCCGAATCTCCAGAAACGGCAGTTCCCTGCACTTAAAGTAGCCGGCAGCCGGCGCTTCCCCTTTAAGAGCAACAGAACGGGGGGGGGGGGGGTTTGGCACCCCTATCCTATAATCACATGGTACTCTGCAGAGAATGCATCTGTCTCCATGGCCCCATCCTAATTTTAGGAGGGGGTCACACAAAAGTATAACAAAGAGACTGCTTCCAGATTGGGATGTGAAAATGCACCCCAGCAACAGCCACAGTAGTACAGCAGTGAGGAAGTAGGCAGGAATGGGGTCTACACACACGCACGCGCGCAGAGTCTCTGTGCCAGTTGCCCTCACCTATTGACCCAATGCTTCTACCTTTTCCCACTGTTTGTGCCTGAATAAAAGCCACAAGCTGCCCAGCAGCATTTAGAAGCAGGACTTAGTTCTGTCCGCTCCTCATAGCGACAACACAGGAAGTGTTCACATGGACATCTCCCCAACAGCCAAAGATTCCCCTTTAAACCAAAGAAAAATGGGTTTCATTTTTCTC